TATATCTTTTTCAGTGGTCAGGTATTGAGTGCCAGTACACTAGATCATCATGTGTCTGTTGAACTGATAAATGGTGGATACAAATACAAAGTTCAAGTCACCAAATCCGGACTCAATTCATACTTCCTCATTATGAATGGTTCATTTAAGGAAATTGAGGTCCATCGTCTATCTGATGGTGGTATGTATCATATAAGATTATTATATTAGTACTTATTTTTAYTCATTATTATTTATTAAAAAGTCTATTAATTTTTATGTCAAATTCAGGAATTTTGTTATCTTTGGATGGATCGAGTTTTACTACATATATGCGAGAAGAAGTAGATCGGTATAGAATTGTAATTGGTAATCAAACATGTGTATTTGAAAAAGAAAATGATCCATCCTTATTACGCTCACCGTCTGCTGGTAAATTGATCAGTTTTCTTATAGAGGACGKGGGTCAAGTTAAAAAAGGTCAACCATATGCTGAAATAGAGGTAATTATTTATTTTGTGCTTATTATGTGCTTATTAAAATATTATTTATATGATAGCTTAAATAATGATGGATGTTAATCATTTATTTATTTTTCATCAGGTAATGAAAATGGTGATGACATTAACAGCTACAGAGAATGGACGTGTATATTATAGCAAACGACCAGGTGCAGTTCTTGATGCTGGTTCATTAATTGCAACACTTGAATTAGATGACCCATCCTTGGTTACAAAAGCTGTTGAATATAAAGGACAGTTCCTTGAACTCGATGGAACTTCACATATTTATGGAGAAAGTCTAAATAATATACACACATGCTACAGAGGTATGCTAGATAATATTTTGGCTGGGTATTGCTTACCAGAGCCATATCATCTTGTACGTTTGAGAGAAGTAATTGAAAAGTTCATGAACTCTTTACGTGACCCAAGTTTGCCTTTATTGGAGCTACAGGTATAGAAGTTTTGTTTTTTATCTTTAAACATTAATTATAAACCAATATGCATTTATTAGGAAGTGATATCATCAATATCTGGCAGAATACCAAAAGCTGTTGATAAAAAAATTAAATCATTAATGAAGTTATATGAAAGGAACATAACATCTGTACTTGCACAATTTCCTAGCCAACAAATAGCTGCAATTATTGATGGGTAAATTGCTATTGAATAAATTACTTAATACAGTCGATATTAATTATTTGTTTTAATGTTCATATTTCATTTCAACCAAAAGCCATGCTGCAACATTACAAAAAAGAACAGATCGCGATAGCTTTTTCCAAACAACACAAGGCATTGTTCAACTTGTCCAGAGRTATAGGAATGGAATTCGTGGTCGAATGAAGTCTGCTGTTCATGAGTTGCTGAAACAATATTATGAGGTGGAAAGTCAATTCCAACATGGTAAGAGAATGTATACATATTATATTATGTTAAAAATAAATTAATAATATTGTGTATTTTCTACTTCATTTACTATATTACATTTATYAATATTTTTTATAATTAATGAGTTGTATTTTAAACATTTTGCAGGAAGTTATGATAAATGTGCTGCTGCATTAAGGGATAGATACAAAGATGATATGGCTGCTGTAACTTCAACAATATTCTCACACACACAAGTAGCAAAGAAGAATATGTTAGTTACAATGTTAATTGATCATTTATGGTCCAACGAACCTGGTTTAACAGATGAGTTGGCAGCTACATTAAATGAGTTGACTTCACTTAATCGCAGTGAACATTCWAGAGTTGCACTTCGTGCACGACAAGTTAGTGTTTTTATTATTATTATAAATATTTATAGTTCTTTATCGTTTTTATCTTTTTTGTGAAATTTTCATTAGTTTTCAATAAGAAATCCTTATCTTTCTAATCTTAAGTTTTCAATAAAAATCAATAATGTAAAATTTGTTGTACAACCTGTTTTTTATAGGTACTCATTGCTGCACACCAACCAGCTTATGAATTAAGACATAACCAAATGGAATCAATATTTTTATCTGCTGTTGATATGTATGGACATGATTTTCATCCCGAAAACTTACAAAAACTTATTCAATCCGAAACTTCTATATTTGATATCCTTCATGACTTCTTTTATCATTCAAACCGTGCAGTCTGCAATGCCGCATTAGAGGTAATATTAGTTATTGAAATAACTATTACATACAYTTAAAAATATTCAGTTACCTAATAATTATAACTTGATGTTTGATTAGGTTTATGTAAGACGTGTTTACATATCATATGATCTAACATGTTTGCAACATTTGGAATTGTCTGGAGAAATACCATTAGTACATTTCCAATTTCTTTTGCCTTCTTCTCATCCAAATCGGTAAGCTTATAATAACATTTTACTAAAATGATTTATATTAAATATAATTTAATATATATTCTTATTGTATATAGACAACAAAATAAGATCAATTCTGGAGCAAATGGTTCTGAAAATCTTGAATCACCAACCAAAACTCCATTATCATATATCCCAACTTATCAAAGAACTGGTTGTATGGCAGCATTTGAATCATTTACTCAATTTGAACAATATTTTGATGAAATCCTGGATATTATGGAAGATCTATCTTCYCCTGTATATGTTTCCCCTAGAATTATTGATGCCCTTGAAAGTGGAAGTGAATCTAGATTAAGCTCATCTCTCAATGTAAGCTTGTCTCTTGGTGATCAACGGCCCCCAGACCAAGAAAATGTTGAGGTAATTTAATTTTTAATTGCATATTAAATTAATAATAAAATTTCCCTTGACATTTTTTTTTTATTAATTTCAGATTGAGCCATGTCATATATTATGTATTGCTATGAAAGACACTGGAAATATGGAAGATGATAAACTTGGTAAGATGTATGAAGAATTTTGTCAACAACGCAAAGAGGAGTTGAAAAAAAGATCAATCCGGAGAATCACTTTCTTGGCTTTGAATAAGTAATTTTATCTATATTTCATCRATCAGATTATTTTAAATAATATATATTTTACACCATTWATTTTTATTTTAAAAAGCATATTAGCTTATAAAAGTGTATGAAGACTGAATTAAAAATATTACTTTGATCTTACATGGTAAACAGCGATGTTAAATAATATAATTACTGTAAAAATTGTATATAACACCAATCATTGTGTTATTACTTTATATCATTCTCGTATACTTAAGATAAAGATAATTTGAACAGTTATTTTAATTTTATTTGTTTTTATATAATTTCAACCATTTTAATAATAGTCCTTTATTAAAATGTGTTATGATAACTATTTTTTTTTTTTTTTAAACAAAAAAGTGCAATTCAATTTTTCAGTATAAATGTATCTTAATCTAAAATTAAACCAAATTTATAAATCAGGATTATGTAATTCAAACAATATGTTTTTGTAATTATTACGTAGTCTAAGATTTCTTAATTTAAGTGTACTCTTTAGATCTCAAATCTTAGGTAATATTAGGTAGAATATAACTCACAATATATAATGAGATTACTTTTTAATATATAGTTTTTTCAAAGAATTACATTAAAAAGAAAATATTTTTAATATTTAGTTGGATCCAGAAATCATTCATTATTATCATAAAGAAATATACTTATATATTGCATTTGTTAAATTTGTACATTTATATTGATTTTTAGAAGACAATTCCCGAAATTATTCACCTATAGAAATTATGARGATTTCGCTGAAGATAGAATTTATCGGCACTTAGAGCCAGGTATGGCTTTCCAATTGGAACTGAATAGAATGAGAACTTATGAATTAGAAGCCTTACCTACATCAAACAGAAAAATGTATCTGTATTTAGGAAAAGCTAAAGTCAGTTAAACTTAATTAAATGCTTTTWTTTWAAGTATTCTAATGTTTTTTCTTTTAGGTTCCAAGAGGTCAAGTTGTAACTGATTATCGTTTCTTTATACGTTCCATTATAAGACATCAAGATTTAATAACAAAAGAAGCATCTTTTGAATACCTTCAAAATGAAGGAGAACGTGTTTTGTTGGAAGCTATGGATGAATTAGAGGTTGCTTTTAGCCACCCACATGCACGTAGAACTGACTGTAATCATATATTTTTGAATTTTGTCCCTACTGTTATAATGGATCCTGCCAAAGTAATTTTATCTAATAAGAAATGAGTTATTAATTTTTGTAACTCAACAAAAAACATATTCTTTTATGTATAGATCAAAGAGAGTGTGACTAATATGGTAATGCGATATGGTCCCCGTCTTTGGAAATTGCGGGTTCTTCAAGCTGAACTTAGAATGACCATTCGGCCGTCACCCACTAGTAAAACTTCAAATGTTCGATTAAGTCTTGCAAATGGCAGTGGTTATCATTTGGATATTTGYCTATACAAAGAAATTACTGACTCTAAATTAGGAATGGTAAGTGCATGAAATACATTTACTTTGTCATGCTGGGAAATCGGCTGTAGTTAATCAAGGTCAGCTTTATAGATCGAGCAAAGGTAACACAACTTATTGTGTTACCTTGCCTTATACAAATCTAAAATTATCTTATCCTTTAGCCAAATGTTGTCTACTTCTTATACAATATTACAATAATACTACTTTTTGGATTCACATTGGAATCAAAATTTATGATTCAATTAAATAAATAAATTGATAAGGCAAAACATTTAAGAACTAAAAGTATTTAGTCCAATGTAATAAATGATACTTAAATTTGGCCATGTACTGATATTCATTATTATGTATTTCAAATGTAGGAACTATTCTAAAAGAACAAAAACATGATAGATGATAACAATAAATAAAAAATCTTTTATTTTTTTCGAAAATAATATTTTACAAAAAATAAGTTCAAGTTAGTAAAGGAAAAACATCAATTTAAATCTCTATTACTTTTTAGTAAGATTTTTTGAGGAAATAGTGTTAATCATCAAAATAAACATTCACTCTATTACCCAATATGAGAGTCCAATATACAAATATTTTCCTATTTATAAATAAACATGTAAATCTGGATCAGCCTGATTGAGTCAATATATGAATAAGTTAATTAACGAAGTGTCCCATCAGCGATGACTACTGTATAAAATAAATAACTTTATTTAATGTTTTTTACTAAAATCTTTTTTTTTTTTTTAATACTAAATAGACTTAAAATGAAGAACAAATATTAAATAATTTGGATTGATTTATAGATTAAATTTGAATCGTATGAATCAAAGCAAGGRCCATTACATGGACTACCAGTRTCTACTCCATATGTAACCAAAGACTTTCTACAACAAAAAAGATTCCAAGCTCAAAGTGCTGGAACAACATACGTTTATGATATACCAGATATGTTTAGACAAATGATTGAAAGTTTATGGCAGGAATACATTTTGGAACATCCAAATGGTAGTTTAATAATTTTCTGATTGAAAATATATAACAATATTTTTTTGGCAATTAAATTTTTTTTTTATAGATGGAGTTTTGAAAAACAACTTAGTGTTTGATTATGTTGAACTTGTTGTTGAAGACAATCATTTAATTGAACAAAAACGCTTCTCTGGTGAAAATACTGTACGTATTAATATAGTATTAGTATTAGTCAATTTTATGTAAGTATAATAAATTGTATCTTTATTTCATAGGCTGGTATGGTTGCTTGGAGATTTACAATGCATACTCCAGAGTATCCTTCAGGCCGAGATATAATTGTGATTGCTAATGATCTAACAGTAAACATTGGTTCATTTGGYCCACAAGAAGATATTGTCTTCGATTTAGCTTCTAAAGAAGCACGAAGAAGAAAAATTCCACGCATTTATATATCAGCTAATAGTGGAGCTCGTATTGGTCTTGCAGAAGAAATAAAAAGTTTGTTCAATGTAGCCTGGGAAGATCCGTCTGACCCAGAAAAAGTAATTAACATAATTCCAAATGATTCTTATACTTGTATATATTTGTTATTTAAAATACTTTGAGTATTATTTTTATCAATTTATTTGAACTCTTTATCTTAGGGATTCAAATACTTATACTTAACACCTGATGACTATGGAAAATTAGCGGGTCAAAATTCTGTAGAAGCAGAATTAATTGAAGATGAAGGTGAACCGCGGTACAAACTAACTGATATTATTGGTAACAAMAGATTTTTGTTTATAACTATATATAACAAAATTTTAATTCATTGGTGTTTGGAAACAGGAAAAGATTTTGGTTATGGTGTTGAAAATTTAAAATTTGCTGGGATGATAGCTGGTGAAACTTCTCGTGCATATCAAGATATTGTTACAATTTCAATGGTAACTTGTCGTGCAATCGGTATTGGGGCTTATCTAGTACGACTTGGTCAACGAGTTATTCAAATTGAGAACTCTCACATTATTCTCACGGGATATAGTGCTTTGAATAAGGTTTGTCCTCTCAAAATATTTATTTTGATTTCGAAAAATATAATTTATYYAAACTTGTTTTTTAGCTTCTTGGTCGTGAAGTGTATGCATCTAACAACCAGTTAGGTGGTATTCAAATCATGTACAACAATGGTGTGTCACACAAGACTGAGGCTAGAGACTTGGATGGCGTGTACAGAATACTTAAGTGGCTTTCATATATTCCAAAAACTAAAGAATCTCCATTGCCTGTGATTAAAAGTGTGGATTCTGTAGAAAGAGATATAGACTATGTGCCTACTAAAGTCCCRTATGATCCTCGTTGGATGATTGCTGGGAAAGAAGATACGAGTTAGTTCTATATTCACTATCTAGGGTGTACGTGTACTTATTTTGTAATGCATTGATTGAATTTATTTATTCAGATGGCCATTGGGAGTCAGGATTTTTTGATAAAGGGTCATGGGATGAAATAATGCAACCCTGGGCACAGACTGTTGTTTGTGGAAGAGCTAGACTGGGAGGAATCCCAGTCGGTGTAATTGCTGTTGAAACAAGAACAGTAGAAGTCACTTTACCGGCAGACCCTGCTAATTTGGACTCTGAATCTAAGGTAATCAAAATACTTATTTAATGTTTTATTGTCATAWGATGTATAAATATATGTATTCTTTTCAATAGACTGTGTCTCAAGCTGGACAAGTATGGTTCCCAGACTCAGCGTATAAAACATCTCAAGCCATTAAAGATTTTGCTCATGAAGACTTACCACTTTTCATCTTTGCTAACTGGAGAGGTTTTTCTGGTGGAATGAAAGGTATTTTATATATAATAATATAATTATACTATTATTTAATTCAAATTATTTTAATTTATGCTGTAAATTAGTTTAGGCTATAATTTATTAACTTAATTTAATTACCTAAATAATCTTTCTCTATTTTTCAGACATGTATGAACAAATAATGAAATTTGGTGCATACATTGTTGATGAACTAAGACAATACAACCAGCCGATTATCACTTATATCCCACCATTTGGTGAGTTACGAGGAGGTGCATGGGCTGTTGTAGATACTACTATTAATCCAAGACACATTGAGATGTATGCAGATCCAGATAGCCGGTAATACTTCTAATTTAAATAATAGACCTTATTTAGGTAACATTACAAATTAGAAAAACCTGAAACAAACTGATTTTATAATGCACAAATCCCTGTTTCATGTCAATAAATAAAAAAATATATTTACTATTTATATTTTTACAATGATTAAAATTAAAACTTTCAATGGAAAAATTAAGAATTTTTTTTATTAATGTATCAATAAAGGAATAAATTAGTTTATTAATTTATATTGCTAGTATATTATATTCTGTTTAACTTAAGAAACATAGTTGATGGTGACCAGATTTCGTCATCATCCTTCAAAGCTTGTCTCCTCATTCAGTTAATTGTCTATATACCTGCCGTGTAGTATTGAGAGTTCCCTTTGCTCTAGTTAACTACGTTTTTTAAAGTGAACAGAGTATAAATGATATTATTTACTCCAGCTATCAACTATTAAAAACATGTAAGTTTAATATAGAATGTGTTAATGTAATTCAGTTCATCTTATATTAATAATAATTATACACATGTTTTTATCGAATATAAATTAATAACATATTACAGTAGCTAAAATATATTTGATGGCGCAAATACAAATTATTTTTTTGTATTATTGTATTATTATGCACTTTCAGTTAAAGTGCTTAGTGAGRATTATAATTAAATACTAATTCTCTATTTATATAAATTATATTTAGCTATGTAAGTTGTATTTTCTTGACTTTATGAATCAAAATGTTAACTGTTTGTTCACAGAGGTGGTGTTTTGGAACCTGAAGGAATTGTTGAAATTAAATTCCGTGAAAAAGACATCTTAAAATCTATCAATAGAATTGATACAAATATTTTGAGTCTTAAAGCAAATGGTAGCCCAACTCCTGAAGAAGCAGCCGAAATAGAAAAGAATGTTGCAGAAAGAGTGTCTGTGTTGAAACCTATTTACCATCAAGTAGCAATTCACTTTGCTGACTTACATGACACWCCTAAATGCATGCTTAGTAAAGGTGTTATTAAAGATATTGTGCAATGGAAGAAATCTCGTAATACATTATATTGGAGATTAAAACGACGTTTATTACAAAACCAAATCCAAAAAGTAATAACAAAATCCAATGATGCCATTCAAGATGATGTTGCCTATGAAATGCTGAGAAGGTGGTTCGTTGAAGACAAAGGCACAACTGCTGTGAGTGTTATTTTGCTATAAGCTTATTTATAAAACAAAAGATAATATTAACAATTTTGAAAAAAAAAAAAATACAATTAATACATTATGCTGATTGATAACATAATATAATATTTTGTTTTTCTTACAGTCTTATCTGTGGGATAACAACCAAGCTGTTGTACAATGGCTGACGAGTCAATTAGATGAAACTGATGGCACTGTTTTAGCTGATTCGTTGATTGGTAATAACATTAAGAGTGTTAGAAAAGATGCGGTTATAAATCAAGTCAAATCTACAATAAATGTAAGCATGGTTTAAATAGACTTAGGCAACTATTTGTTTTAAAAACTTCATAGTAGATTATTTGCAACTTTAATATGTGTAATGATTTGTTGATAGGACACGCCTGAAGTTACATCAGATGTAATCATGGGTATGTTCCAAAGCCTTTCGGAAATGCAACGTCTCGACTTGATTCATAATTTAACCCAGGCAACAACCATTGGAAATGTGAAATTAAATAGTTGATTACCTTCTACTATAATCAGTTATTGTTGTTTATTATAAAACAAAAATATAAATAAATGTACGCTTATCCTCACATACACACGTTTATATGTATACAATACTGCATTATACTATGCATAATAAATATGTGTGTGTTTGTTTGTGTTACTTTATAATWAATATTTTAGTTATTTCTGTACTGTACAAKTGAAGAAAAACAAAATTTATTCTGTTAATTGTCAGATTTCATACAATTGCTTATAATTTTAATTTTATTATGAACAAATAATTACTGTCAATGGTTATATTATATAGTGTGTAGTTTATATCTACAATTTATTGTATAGTGTTTACCAATCTTTTTTCCTTTTTGATGAAATTTCATTGACCGTTTTTATTAATCTTAAAATAATATTTTGTAGCTAATGAAAATTATACAATATTTATTATAATATGGGTAAAAGATATTATAAATTATTATTACAAACAACTATTAAAGAAGAGTAATGTAAATATTTGTTGTTTAATGTTGAACCATTCATAGGCAATTTTTTTTAAGTAAAATATTCGTGTGCTATTTATATATTTAACATAAAAATTATACTTGAAATTGAATTCTATAAAAAAAATTACCACGTTTCAACAAAAAATATACTCATTTTTTTATGTTTATGTTTGTTTAATATCTGAATAAAATCTATCCTAAAAGTTTCATATAGGCACAGTACTTTTCCCGATACATACAATYTATACTAATTTATATTGCATTTTTACTTAACAAAAACTTTTATTKATATGATATGTAAATAAATAATTGCTCTCAAATATGTTTATACTACTATTATATTATATTATATTATAAAGATTTATTCTATATTATTGTTTTATAACCACAGGGCTCTAATATCAATGTTAAAGAAAATCCATGAAAATTACATTAATAATATTTTTGGGTTTAGTTTAAATCATTAAGAAGAATGCATAATTAATTCAAAAATAATAAGTACTGACCTGATGAATACAAAGAACTTGAATAAATCTTGAATTGAAATAATTTACAATCTTATATTTATTATATTTGTACTTGAAAACAATTTCTTTTTTAAGATTTTATTATTATTTTTATTTAGAAAATTTTATATAAATTAGATTAGTTAGAACATTTATTGACTTATATCTAACCTGTAGWAGATGCTATAAACAGGTTAATGTTAATAGCGCCCGCTACTAGTAAATTTAACCAGATACCAATGTATTATTTACTGGTAATAAATATCTTAAGCAACATAAACTTTTGTGAATATATTTGATGATTAACTTCAATTCAATAAAATTATTTATAATCTCATAACATTTAACAACAATAGGATCAATATTTAAATCATCAAACGGATAATTAAAATTAAAGCTCAATCAACATTGAGATAATAYAAGAAAAATTTTCGTTAGAAATTTTTTTACCTACATATGTTTATGAGACATCCTATTAAGAAAATATTATAAAAAGAAAAATTATTAGTAGCTTTATTTGCAAATAAGTGATTAAAAATTTCAAATAAAGTATAACGGAGGACAATGGTCTTTTTCTAARATAACAAGAGTATCYTTTAAGAGGAAGCCRTAAAAGCATAGCATAATTAGGTCGTGCTTAACATAAATGTAAAGATATTTAGAATCGAGGAAGACTGTTGATTGATAATATCATGCAATACAGTAGACTTCGCTTATTAGACTCACGGGTATAAGGTTCAGTCGCTTATTAGATTTAAAATCGTCTAGAATGGTCCGGACGTATCAAAATACATTTTAAAAAAATCGGTTATAAGACTCAAATTTCGTAAAATAAATAGTAGAAAATGAACTTTTTTGGTTATAATTTAGAAATAAATTGGTATTGAAAAATTAAATAATATTCGTGTTGATTATTTCTAGCTACTGTTGGTAGGTACCTTATAAAGTTATAACGTATAATAATTGAACGTGCATTGAAAGAATGGTTCGTAAAAGTTAGAGATAAAGATGCTCGCGTGTCAAGTCCTTTGCTTYGCCAAAAAGCTGAAGAATTGGCAGAAAAAATGGGGAAGGTTAACTTCAAAGCGAAAGAGGGGTGGTTTCATAGATGGAAAAAAAGAAAAAATATTAATATTAGAACAAACTAAAATTAMAAATTTTTTTGAAAAATAATTTTTTTAAATAAATAATAAATACATTATACACACAATTTTTATAATATTTTTATATGTAATATTTACCTATTATAATTTTTTTTTTTTATCAGGATTATTAAATTTATTTATTTATTCAATAATAAGTATGTAATATGTAATATGTGCTAAAGTATTAAAATTGTACTACATATGTAGACATTGACTTTTTTTGAGATATTATTTATAGACAACTGAAATTTTCAATTTTTCTGAAAAATTTTTTTGAAGTGTCGATAAAATTTTTTTGGTCCTATCAAAATACTTGAAAATTTAATACAAAGTTTCTCATAAGTTATAGTGATTAAAAAAATATAAGAATACATAGGCACAATTTTTTTTATAAGTGTTTATAGTTCAAATTATTACGAAATCTGTCGAAAATGTGCAAGTAATTTTGAAGTTGAAAAATCATAAAAAATTTGTGTTTATAACTAAGGATTAAAAATACAACACTAAGTTTTCCATATTTCCTTCAAGTASCTATAGAGAAAACTCGAAGCAGCATTATAGGAAAAATGTTTTGAGCGTTTTAAATTTTTATGAAATCGCGTAACGATAACGATTTATCCTCAAACCAGGTAAGTATTTTATATGTATATCTATGATAATATAAGGTATTATGAATTATGATAATTACATGCAATGTTTTTGGAAAAATTGATTAATCGTGCCTTATTCAAAATGCGTCCTAATTGAAAAATAATATATCTGTTTCAAAATAGAATACCTATATGACAATATTTAAATATAATATATCCTAGACTGACAAATCATCTCCATCCAGAATCTGAAGAGTTGGAAAGCGACCTTTTTCCGTCTACCGAGTAATATGTATAATAATTAAGTGGCAATTCCATCCTAGTGCCGGGTGATATAATATAGAATTACCAAAATTTATATACCTACCCACTACGATCCTTATTCCTTAAAAAACATAAACTTTTGCAGTTACCTACATATCTTATGTGTTATCATAATAACACTGTTATGTACAATTTCTTGCACGCGCGTTAACATTTTTCTTTCATGAAATTGTTTTCGTTGAATAGTCTGGTTGTTGCACAGATCATTTCATTATACCTTTGTCGCGATCGATAGWCTCTAAGACTTGACAAGAAATATTTTTGTGTGGCTCGCGCGGAGAGGCGCGACCGAAATATATGGCTCACTTTTCCACCCACGTTACTGATTTAATTGACGCCCGCCATTTATATTTCTCATATTTTCTATAAAATTAGAAACTAGGTATTTAAAAATAATAGTAATTATAACATAAAAGTATAAMAAATTGTGTTAAATATTCTATCTATGGATAAYATCATGAAATAATCGTTAAAATTAAAAATACATAAATTCATAGATAAAACATTTAATAYAATTTTTCATACTTTGTATTTATTGTGTTATGGTTATTATTATTTTTAAATACCTAATTCCTTATTTTATAGAAAATAAATAATAGAATATACGAGGAATATTATAGTGGCTGGAGGATACGTGGGTTGGTGAGCGTCAACTAAACCAGTAGCCTTCTCGCCCTTGCAACACTATATCAAATATTTAACCTTTTGTAATTTTGAGGCACGATTTTTTTTTTTTAGGACCTAAGACCGTTCATTATGCGGCCCTTTAAAATTCCGATCCATGGGCCTTTGGTGTATTATGCGGACACTGAACTAGTAACAAGACAAAAGTAATATTCCAAAAGTGTCTAAAAATACCTATAATACATTTTTACCTTATTGGTTCTCTGCAGCATACGTCGATCGTATTATATTCTTTATTGACCCTAATGGCCTAATTCATTAACGGTCTAAAACGAGTAACGACTAAAACTGTCTTAGAATTTTCAACAAAATAAGTAATAATGTTGATTTATTTTTATTTTCTCTCCTGCATTTATAATAAAAAAGTTAAACTCGCGTCTAATTATTGATAAACCGTTCAAAATTATGTTAACATAGGTACATAACAAATAATAGAGTACCTATTAGAGATTAGAATTAACAGTTAAGGTAWAAATTCACATTTTTGGATGTGGATGTGGTATTTAACTACCAAAGCCGAATTAATAAATACGCAATACTATAATTAAATAGCTGCAGAGATTTATGGAATAACAAAAAACAAAAGTTTCTGTTAAGGTTTATATCGTTTAGGTAATAGATTAAATTAGTTATTTTATGTTGGTATGACAGCAACAAATTAATATCATTATGTGCCGCATATTCGTCTATTGTTTATTTCTGCTAGCAATTGATTATTCATTAAAGAAAATTTTTTACTATTTTCTATTATTACTATCCGCAGATTTAAAATCGAATTATTTATTTTATTAATTTTTTTTTAAAGTTTTATCGTTTTTAACACCATTAGGAACTGAAATACCAAATATTAAATAACGAATTGAATACAGTTTGAATCATTAAATATGTCGGGTTTTTTGCACGAAATGCGAAATAGGTGTTTATAATTTAATTGTTTTACTAGTTTAATATATTATATTGATGTAATGATATAATATTTTGTATATTAATTTGTTTATATATTTTAAGCCATATGTAGTGATGGCCAAGAGTCAAGACTAGTTGATTGAAGTTTACTTAATAAAAATACAATATGAAGTTTTATTATGATATTTATTATCTGATGTATATATGTATATTATATTATGCCTAAATATTAATAATTTTAAACATATAATTTTTAAATTTATAGAATTGACATGGGTTCGACCTTGGAGTTATAGCTATATGCATGGGATYCTAAATAATATAATATCAACATTTACATATGTATCTCGTATTCTCTTTCTCGTGTATGGTATCACATTTTATATTTATAATATCTATCTATATATCTACATGTCTCTTGCAGTCTTACATAACTCATAAGTAGTATCATACTGATACATAGGACTCTCAAAACATGTCTACCGTGAAAAAAGACATATCGTTATACTTCACACAACTAACAACTTCCTATCGGCTTTCAGTTTGTTTAGAATGTAAATAACAAGATTTACAAGTCGCTCATAATTTGCATGACCTCGTCTATAATAATTGTTGTGTTTTTTTTTCGTAAATATTTTTGGACTTTGATGGTCATATAACTATATAGTATAGTAATCGTCAAGCTAAATAACGWAGGAAAAATGTATCGAAAATAAGACATCTAATTATATGGTTTTTAAGGAATATTATCCTTCTTACATAGAAGAAACATTTAAGTAACTAAAAAATACCCATTTAAATTCTGAATTAAGTACCTACATAAAAATATTCACCAAATAATTTACAATAAGAACCATCTTTCTCATTTGAAGTAGAGGAGTTTGTATMGATGTTTAGGACACCCCTGTCTCTTTAAGTAGCATWAAAAAAATTCGAAATATCAATATATTATTTAAAAATTRCAAAAATTACAATTTGAATTTATTAATAATTAAAGAAAAAAATTAGGACCAGCATGTTTGGTGAATCACCGTGTATATTATGGATTCTAAAATTATTTTTTAATACAATAACATAATATATGTAGGTTGATCCGTTGATATGAGAACAATTATTAATAACATTTTATAACAAAATATTAAATCACGCGCAAAACAACAAATTCCTATACCGACAATAATGAAGTCGACGAAAGTGCCATTCTCGTACAAACGGGCTAAACCGCTGGACCTGTCGTTCGAAGACCTGGAGTCCCTGGTTCCTAGCTCACTGCGCGTGTTCTCCACGGGGTTTGTAAGTTCGTACCGGATGTTGGGCGTGCCGGCCCAGCGCAACGGCCGGTACAAGACGGCGTCGCTGTTACTGAGCCACAACCGGTTGACCGGTGGCCTGAAAGACATCCGGCTGCTGGTCGACAGGCTGTTCCGGCAGCCGGACGCACTCTGCTGGCTGGACCTGTCCCACAACCAGCTGACCGACGTGTCAGACGTACTGCTCGGGTTCCCGAATCTGAGTACGCTGTACCTGCACCACAACCGGTTGGCGAGTTTGTGCGCCGTGGCCCGGATCAATCGGCTGCCCAAACTCAGGTCGTTGACGCTGCAGAACAACCCGGTAGCCGAGTGCCACRGTTACCGGATTGCGGTCCTGTCCGTGTTGAAGCGGATCACCCGGCTCGATTTTGTCAGCGTGACGGACAGCGAGAGGCGCCTGTTGCCACCCATAGCTTTGGGAAGTTTCATCAAAGACTATTTAATGCCCCAGAAATTTTGATCGACTGCTGAGAACGATGTCGTACAAATAAGAGGTCGGTCACCGGAATATTGAAATTTCGGAGTCGTTTAGTGCCGACGGTAAAGTACAATAATAATAATAATATCATTAGATGACATCAAATAAACTACTATGGAGGGACGCGMAATAGGTCACGGCGACGGCGGCAATGCATTATTAAAATATACACTAACAAGATGATATGTTGTAACACTTTACTACAGTCCTGCGTTTTATAATTATTTTGTCGGCACGAAAAKGATCAAAAATTATTTTATGAATGTCAAATTAATCAATGTAAATCCTTTAAAAAAATAACAATAAATATAACGACTGAATTGTCGATGTTTAACGTTAGTGAAACGATTATTATTGTTATTTCATTATATTATTATTGTCAATGAAAAAAATACACAAACCCACGCTTAATAATATAGGTATAAACTATAATATAATAATATGCAATGTATATAATTATGCAGCCTGACAGAGCGTGTAAGGCCGTATATCATTTGCGCATCGTCTGCTTATCTGTAGGTAATATACCAAATTATCGTACATCAAATGCGCATCGATATTTTAAACAATAGAAGAGTTCTATATAACCATATTAGGCGTAACTAGACCTTAAAGTTAGGGGGGGACTTCAGCCCTAGAATTTTTATAATAAGTAAATTAAGTGGTGGGCTCCGTCCCCCCACGACCCCCAAACACATTACATTCATTGATTATACATGTAACATAAATGTAAATTATTATTTTATTATTTTAAAACAAATGATAAACGAAATGGTATTGAGGTTAAATATTTATATAGGTTTTAACATATTATTCCAATTTACAGCTTAAGCCTCCGCTCAGYGTTAGAAAATTATAGTTATTATATATATAGTAGTTTTATGTTGTAAAAACTACACAACATGATAGTAAGATACGTCTTACACAGTTACACGGGATCATTACATACAATAATATAGTTTAATAACAAAAATAAATAATTTTTTTACAAGATATTAATAAAAAAAAAAAACGATATTTTAAATTTAGGTTTAAAAATTTTAC